TCAACGCAGTGAGCAGTTTTCCCGAAGTCGAACGCCTGGCGCGCCGAGAGGGCCTGAATGGAACCCTCTGGGAGCTATCCATGCGCCACAAGCTCTGCATCTTCAGTTCAGAGGAAGCCGTCTTTCACTGCGGGCAGATAATGCGATTTATTCGCGCCATGCCCTCTGATCGTCGACCTTGCTGGTGGTCGGCTGCCGTGTATCGCGCCACCTTGATTCTGTGGGCGAATACTGTCACGACGCTGAACCCCACGTTGCCAACAGCGCTGCAGGTGCGGAATAGTTCGTCCTCTCCCGTGTCTTCAAATGTGGACGAGGAGCGGCGACAGGAAAGCACGGCACCCAAAGACCATAGTTTGGTGGATGCAAGCATCATCATTGACCAGGTCACACCGGAGGACCCCTGCCTGATCAGATATCTCTGGAGCGGAGGCAAGGGCATCATCATGGTGACCCGTCGAGACGGCCGCACTGTCGGGCTTGAGAGTCCAGCCGACGTTCTCAACTACGGCATTGGTGTCGTTGACGAGGGTTTCACCAGCCGCATCGGCGACGGCATCAAACGCAAGTTGGCGTCACTAAACACATACTGGAGGGTTGAAGCGCCTGATATTCCTGTTGCGCCGGGCATGGCATGAGTTTCTTTTGGACACTTTTACCGTTGGCTTTACTTACTTTCACAAACACCTCTCGATCCTTGTTTTTCCACATTCGCTTGACAGAGCTCATACCGCTTGACAGTCATGAGGAGTACCCATATGATTTCCTTCTTCTCTCCTTCTGAGGCACTCAGGCAAGGAGGAAAATGGCGTTGCTGCCGTATCTCTTGGTGGAGGAGAGGCACCTCATGACCAGCACCAGGCATATGATAGGCATGGAAAGGAGGAGACACACAGGCGTACAGCCATCGAGGTCTGCTAGGCAGTGAATACCAAAGTGTATCGATCATCCCGCTGATGCATGCACTCACACCAACTGCCGCTGTGACACGCAGTGACTTCCGTTCTGAGAGTTTTGCCTGGGCTCGGTACGAGCGCCGGTCTCTCCGATTGGAGGCCCCAGAGATTCCCACGTCCCCGCGCGCGCGTGCGTCGAGATCTCGTATGAAGAT